TGTTTTTAAATTGTGTACCAGTTTAACGTTGAATATTATTTATGATTTTAACTTTATACACAAGTGCCAAAATACTGTAAGTATCTTATCAAGTGTTACAAAAATCAACTACACAAAGTCCACACCTTTTCTCTCATCCAACAAGTAACATTCTAAAAACAAAAAGTTAGTGATCGGAAGAATCAATCTTGTTACATGCAGCTGCTACAAGTCTGTTAATTATATGAATTTAGTTTCTTCAATAGACTGACTCCCTTTCAGAGTCAAATCTATTTTCTGTGTGTTTCTAAACTCATCTACTTTAGTAAGCTTAGGATGTAAAGAGCCCTAAATTAATTCTACTAATATTTATTAACTTGTCTCACAAAAGTTACATCAAACAATTTTCACTCTGCAAACTATATCAATACAATTTTAAAGAACATATTACTCTTTTTTTTCTCAATTAACTCTTAACAAAAAATACTTTTGTTACTAAACCATATGATTTGTTTATTACCACTGCAAATCTAATATTTGTTATGGAGGGGAAGATATACTTTTGACATAACAAAAAATATCTTCTATATTCAAGTTGATTAAAATATGTTAAATACTATTAAATCCCCAAAATAGTAGTTTTTACTGAATTTCAGTTAAGTTTTTAGGCAGCAGATCATATCATGGGAAGTTTAATTCAAATCACACACAATTTCAGAATTTCTAAATATTTTTTATAAAACATTTCATGCTATAGATTATTTGCTCAATCCATCAGACCAAAGTAGTTACAATAATAATAATATAAATAAGTGAAACAGAGCAAATACACTGTCTGAGGCTCACTTTAAAAGGACCAAACATAACTAAGAAAAGAAGTTTTAAAATGAGTTGTTTTATTTTTGATTTCACACAGTTTAAGTTGGAAGTCAGTTAAAGTGAGAAAAAAATGCTATATGAAATTACAAATGGAATAAGCCACCTTAATGAGTGAATAATGAAAATATAATAACAATTATTAACTAATTCACTGATATTGTTGATTACCAAATGGTCCTGATTGTGAGAGTTGTGAAGGATCCTCCATCTGAGGGTTAACTGAAAAACAAAATTAGAGATTAAGAAATTCTGATCTATTATATGTATAAGACAACTGAAATTTAATTAATCTATTTGAAAAAGTCCAAATAATCTAATTCCAATTTAATACTTAAATAACTTTATTCTTAATATTTTGATCACTTCTAGAATCTTGTGAGCATTTGAATATTGCATGCAAGGAACATTTTCAAAAACTATTTTCAGTACATCATTTGCTTGTTTGTTTGATGAATTTTGTGCAAAGCCCTCCAAGAGCTATCTGTGCTAGCCATACCTAGTTTAGAAGAGCGAGACTAGAGGTAAGGCAGTTAGTCATCACCATACACTGCTAACTCTCAGTTAGGCTACTTTAATTGAAAAGAGATGGAAAATCACATTATAATACCCCAACAGGTAAAAAAAGTGAGTCTGTTGATGATAAGAGTTGAATCCAGAACCCACAGACTGCGAGTCTAGCACCCTAACCACCAGGCCCTCACAACATCAATTAGAAACTGCAAGATGTTACATAACTTGTCAAGAAATTAATTTTCAGGTGTATTTTGTGCCTGAAAGTACAAGAGACTTTCCTGAATCATTTGTTGTTTGGACATTATTTGTCAACTACAGTAAATATCTCATTTATGGTCTCCTTAAAACAACACTAAAACTGTTCTATATCTCCATTTGATCTTATAGAAATGAGCTTCTCAAAATTCCAACAAAAACCATGATCCTTGCTATTAAAAGAACCTTATTAAGATGCAAATGAAATTTTTATTCTGATCACGATAGCATTTTATATACACATGCAACTTTTCTCTTACACAATAAAAAACTACATAACTTGTGATGCAGACAGGTCTTCAATATATATTGTTGCTGAAAAAACTGCAAATGTAATTAAAGAATGACGCAGCAGCCTCTACATCCTAAACACAATCTCCTTTTTAGAAATTTAAAACATCCAACAGTAACTCTCATTGTGACAAATATATAACAAGGCAAAGGCTGTGCCTAAAGCATTCAACATTGTTCCCAGAATGAAGAGAGAGAGAAAACATCAAAGATGAAGTGAATCCAATTATAATAAAGAAACACAGATGTAACAAGTAAAGGTCATGTCTAGAACATCTCACTGTAACTCATTAGAACACAGATATGTAACAAGATGGTCATGTCTAAGGCATCCAACTATAACTCTCACGATAGTGTCATAACAAAATATACTGCCATCTATATAAAGTCCATTTGTTTGTTTCTTTTGTGCAAAGTTACACAAGGGCTATGCTCGCTAGCCATCCCTAATATTGCAGTGAAAGACTAGAGGGACTGCTGCTTGTCATCACCACCAACTCATGGGTTACTCTTTTACCAATGAATAATAGGATTGACCATCACTTTATATTGCCCCCATGGCTAAAAGGGTGAGCATGTTGTGAGACATGCATTCATGCCAACAATCCACACACTGCAAGCCAAGTGCCCTAACCACCTGGTCATGCCAAGCTTATAAAGTTCATTTCCAAATAAATAATAGCATCATGATATTACTGAAACTATCATTGTTTATCAATAATGTTGATTGTTAAAATTTGTTAAGTTGATCAAGTATATAAATCACACAGACTCAAAGGTATGCAGATTCTTTTCATGTGATGATAGAAACATTTTAAAGCAATACTCACTAGGTTTAAACTGCTCAGCGGAATACCTGGTGAATAAGATTCCAACACCTTCAATCAAAGCCAGTAGAACACCACCTACATGCACAGAAAACAGAATTTACCTTCCAAACAAATTATAAACACAGGAACATAAATATTTCAATGTTCACATACATAACTTTTACTACAAGCTTTATTAAGATTTTCCAATGCATGTGCTTGAATAAATAAAATGAATTCAAGAATGTTAAGTGTATAAAATACAATTAATTCTTCTAGAACACATCTTAAAAGACTATTTAAAAGAAAAAAATTTTTTGCAAACACAATAAAAATATTTTGTTCACATTTCAAGTCCATGGTGGCATACAAACATTAGATATAAAATTAAGGTTCTCTTATAAAATAGTAGAAGCCCTGTACAATGCACAAACACAGAGAAATGCTTTATCAAATACAGAACATATCCACAACACAACATAACTAGTTCTAAAATTATACTTCTGAATTTTTAGGTTTCCAGAGATCAATATTACTGATGTTGCACAACTTTGTAGTACATTAATTAAAATAAACTTATGATACAAAAACCAAAAGATTGAAGAAATTCCTTTTTTTTGTTACACCTTATTTAGAGTAAGTCAGCATTAGAATAAAGTAAAATAACAGATTTATTACATGTTCATTAAGGCAAAGCAGTGACGTAAATATGTGATCATGATTTTTAAACAAAGTATTTTTACTGAAGATTTGTTTGTGAGCTAATGAAGCCTTTACTAAGTCACTCCCAATGAAAGGTGATTTTCATACTACGATTAAAAATACTTATTTTCATTTTACAGTTTTCATATTTCACTTGCATAACCTCAAGGACCTCTTATATATGAATATCAAGTTTTTTGGTAAAACTTTATACTTTATCTCTTATTTTCTCTACCCCAAGTAATAACTGTACAAAACACATCAGTGTACAGTGAAATGAAAAATATGAAATAAAAATTACATTTATTCTTCTTCTTTGAATCCATAATTATCTCAAGAGTATCCAATCACTTATCTTCACTGTTTCAACTGCTGACTTTTCCATGTCTTTCCTTCTAATTTTAATGTTTTATATCCAGACTTTGTTTTCAAGGAACTTGTTTATCACTCCATGGAAATTAATAAAACACAGTTGGAGCCATTTCCCCCAGAGATAATGTAAACAAACCAATCAAATTATAATCGTGAGCTCATGTTCCTAAGTTCAGTCACTAGAATAGAATAACCTAAAACTATTCTACATATCTAGATTTATAAGTAAGCTATAAATAGTTTAAAAAAATTATATCATGTGCTTGGTGTTGAAAATCAATTATCACAGATAAAGAATGGATAGCTAATTTTCTATGTATACCTGCTAAGTGAAAGAAACAACTATAACATGTTTTACGTATAGGAGAATCTACTTTTTCTATTGGTTAGAAAAATGTTCATCAGCCATGTATAAGTATGTGAGTGTGTGTATATTTATATACCTGTCTTGAAATGCAGAACAAAAGGGAGGGGCTTCTCTGATAGGTTTGACAAATTTATTGATACCTCAGTAAATTTAAAAGGTACGAGATTCAAATTTTACATTCTTCCTTGTAATTATATATAGTTTGTGTTTCTAATTGGTTGAACACTGAGAGCTGTATTACTGAAGATATAAAATCTAAAGGGGAGAATTCAGGGTGCATACTTGAAATGTGACACAAAGAAGTGAAGATTATAACTCTGACATAAGCACTTTAATCCAACCATTCAAGGAATGCCATAAAATGAATTGGAAACACACTAAAAAAATAATTAATAAATCATTCAGTAAACTTTTAAGTTGAGTGAAAAAGAGAACTTAAAAGTAATCCTATACAGAAAATGGGTAAATAAAGTTAATGACTATTTATAAGCATACTTAAAGAAATTTACTATCAACAACCATGAAAATGTTCAGTAAGAAATTCCTGACTATTTAGGTTATTTACATAATAGATATGTCATCACTCCCACTGACACAGCAGTTAACTTTTTATTCGTGTGTAAAAAATTATATTACAACTTTATGTAAAAATCAAGGGTTTAATTCAAAAAACATTGTAACAGCTTTAGGTAATGAGGAGTACAAACACTATAAAACCAATATAGATATCATACAAACACACATTAGAATTTTATTAAATGATGGAATACATTCTTTTAAAGCTTATAATGTAATACCTAAAATATTTTGGGTTCCCACAACTACATAAAACACCATATAGGTTTTTTGCCACATCTAAAGAACCTACAACTGAGAATTTGTCAAGGTAAAGGTCTGAAATACATTAAAAAACATGTAAATATGAGAGGACCAGTATTAATCCATTCAATAACAGTAATTCCATTGAATTTAAAGAGAAAATTAAAGGTTTTTAGCCTAAAACAATATAGATTTTTGATTTAAGATGCAACATTCCTATTACATTAGTAAACACAAATTTCTATGACAGTATTACTTCCAAACATCACCATTGTTTTACATTGAATAAATTTTTGTAGGTTATATATTTTTTACTTGAGAACACATTTGTCATTTGTTCAATTTAGTAAGCATGTCTTCCAACAAATACAAGAACTTCCAAAAGGATGTAACTTCAACACACAAGTTGGAGATTTATGTTTTTTCAAACTTGAATTTATAGGCATAACAAACCTAACTAAGAAAGACTGTTTTGATGCTTTTCACATTAGTCAGGCTTGTATAGATGTTAACAATATTCTTGTATCCAATTATCAAGGTTTTCTTGACTCAACTAAACATATTTATTGATCAATACTCAGTCTGATAAAAAACTTTCTTTCACTACAAACAAAACACATTATCTGGATTTAGATATCAACATCATTATTCAAACATTCAAGTTCAAAGTTTTTAATAAAACACACACTTTAAATTTCAATCTATACTCTTTCCACTTCCTATTAAATAATGTTAGATATTTTATTACTCCCAGCTTATTAGGTACAATTCATTCAACATTACAAGGTTTTTTGGATAGAGCTCGTAAACTCGCACTTCTTTCACAAATTAAGTTTTTCCTATCACACCTTAAACACAAAATTCATTCAATTTTGCAGAAAACTTAATAACAGTCTTGCTAACAATTGTGGGTTCAAAAGTTTTACACAACATCACAACCTTTTCAAAACTTTCACACTTACACTTAAATTTCTCAAAAATTGATTTAACTTAACTAATTTAATGTTATACCATATATGGATCTGTTATATATCTAGTATTAACTATATATACTAATGGGAGGTAAAACTAGTAGTGGTCAATAAACTAAATGGTGAATTATTATGTTTATAGTTTTTCCTCATTACATTATCATATTTGCTATTGTTGTCCTAAGTCCCATTTTCTTGAATGTTAATGTTTCAGCTGTTACAGAATATTTTACTTTATATATTACGTCCTGTTGCCTTCTTCATTTGTTTTGTTAAATGACAAAAGTTAGTTAAAGTCAAATTAATTGTTTTATACACAACTCACAGTATGTTTAACATACTGTTTTTTCTTTTTATTACATTACTATGACTATATTTTAATTACAATACCAATATTATAGTTTTCATTTTACAAAGCAGGGATTCACTTAATTTCTTTTTATTGTTGTATCTTTGTAAACATCAGTTTTGGCTGTAATATTAGTAACGTCCTGCTACTCAACTCTACACTTGAAGTTAACAACTACTGTTTGTATGACCAAAAGTGAAATTTACTCGTTTCTTTCTTTCTTTAATGTTATTTTTTATTAATAGTATTAGTTAGAATGTTTCAAGTATCTAGTTTTATTACTATTAATTTTTTATTGTTATACTTTTATTAAGGAGATTGTTTTGTACTGTTAGTACAAGACCATCTGGTAGTTACCCTGGAGTTTTATATGGTATTCCTACAGTTAATAAGGAAAGTTGTCCTGTCAGACACATTGTCTCAACTGTTGAAACTAATAACCACAAACTTGCTGTTTTTCTAGTGAAATATTTGGGCATATGTGCACAAAATAACTATAATACTGTGAAAGGCAGTTTCTACTTTCTAATGATTTGCTTAAGTAAAATGTTGCTGTAGAATCTCTGTATACTAATATCCACTTAGATGTTACAATTAGAAACTGAATTGATTTATAAAAATGAAAATAATGAAACTGGACTACCCAAGTTTGTTTTCCAGCAGCTGTTGAAATTTTCTGCTAAAGATTCACATTTCCTCTTCAGTAGAATTATTTATGATCAACTGAATGTGCTGCGGTGGGTTCGAGACTGACAACTCTTGCCAAATTATTTTTGTGTTTTCATAAAGAACAATGGTTGAATGGCTGTCCTGACGGCTTTAAACAGATATATTAATCAGAAGTATGTGGATGACACATTCTTTTATCTTCAATGACCCTGAACATGTTAATCAGTGTCCAGAATGTCACAACAGTCTTCATAATAGTATCAAGTTTACTACTGAACAACTAAAAAAGATCACAAGTTTGCCTTTCTGGACATGTTCAACACATAAAAACAAAGGCAAATTTGAATGTGAAATCTTCCATAAAAAAGGAGATTTACAGGTTTATATATCAATTTTACCAGTTTCACTTAACTGTTTCTCATGAAAAAAAATTATTTAGATCTTGGTTCATCATGCTTACAAGGTCACTAACACATGAATATTTACATAAAGGACTATATAGCATGTGATGTTAGTGAAGAAACACCTATACACAAGTGTTTTTCATAGAACTTATCCACAGATAAACCAGAATGTAGATTTAAGTACAGAATATCACTGCTAATAACATATAATGTTGTCTACAAATTTACATATCCTAAATGGTACTCAACATATATTAGGTCTACAATGAGTTGGTTGATAATACATACAAGAGAACATGCAAATTTGTTAAGCACAAAAAATTTTAGTATTAAAGATCACACTATCCAAGATAGTAATAAACACATCAGCATTCAAGATCCTAGCCAAATGCAATAATGAGAAAATTCATATATTAAGACCTGAACTGAATGAAACTAATTCATCTATTTATTTACTGTTGAAAATTTATTTTTTGTCTTCTCACCAAGTTAAAATAATTGCTACCTTAGTAAATGCAGTTAACACTAACCTATATATCCTAAGCTAGCCAAATCTTGAGATATTATTGAATGTATGATTAAAATTATTATTAACTGATGAAAAAATATAGCTAATGAATTATACTTATTACTTGGTTGATTTTTAGTATTAATCTAAATAATAGCTTTCTTTGACCAAAAGTTATTAAGCAAAATAAAACATACCAATGACAGCTGATCCTACCATTGCACCAGCTCCATCTGAAAAACAAAAAAGGTGAATTACCTTTTTAAAATAAAAGTAATACATACACACATCATGGCTGAACAAATCTATTTATAGTAAAAAAACCTAGATCTTCAGCATGAATCATAAATACAATGTCAAAAAATTATGTTAAAAATAAAACAACAGGACACATTAATGAAACACGTTTACTGAAAACTGTGGAAAGAAAAAAACTGTAGGATCAATGCTAGTTTAAAAGCATTTTTTTTTGGTATTCATAATTTACATGATTATGGAAGTAAAATATGTTATGTTATTTCCACAAATTTTAGTTACTTAAAATAGAGTTTACACTTTAGGCCTAATTTCTGTAATAAGATAACAGTGAACTGAACACAAGCATTCCAACACGACAACTACTTTCTTGATGATGCTTCAAACAATATAAACATTAATCTATTAACTACACTTGTTTTTAAAAACACATTGGTATTTTAGTCAGTCAGAAGCAGCATATCAAAAATACTTAGCAAATGAAGCAGATATAACCAAAGTTTTAGTACTATTATAGAAGTAATGAACAGAAAATTTGAAGTTCTGGTATCAAATTACAACATGTTATTACCATATAGTTGTATAATAGTTCAATATCAATGTATTTCAAAAACCTTGGTTTACTTTTTATTATTATTATTATTATATGTATAAGGCTAGATGGTTATTAAAAAAACTGACTTCGAACAGCAAGGATAGCTCCTGTCAGTGCCCCACTTGTTATAGAATTCCATGGGTCTTCTTTCTTCCTTATATGAACCATAGTACAATCAATAGTAGAGAATAGACCACCCCAAACAGCAAAGTTTCCTATGCATTAAAATACATTAATAAATCTAGTGTTTCTAAGTTACTATGTAGCAAAAATACCTTGATGTTCACTATCAATAAAGAAGACATTTTAATGAAGTTTTAAATGAAATGTGAACAAGATATCATTGAACTTCCACATTAAAAATCTGATTAATGAAATTAGTTGTAACTAAATATTAACTGAAATTAATCTGAATACACACTAAATGGTTTTTTTTCAGAAATTTAGAACTTTCGGGTATATAACATTTGAATATCTGCAGCTTTAATATGGAAAGCATTAATGCAATTTATTCTCACATAAGCTACAAATATAGTGGTATAGTGTGATAAAATATAAAACAGCTTCAGTTTTACTTTATTTAAACCAGACAAATGGAGCAAGAAGATATAGCAGTTATTTAAAATATATATTATAGGGAAGTAAGCATTACAGCGTATTATCTAATTTATAATCCCTCAACAGTGCTAAAATTTTGCCCTTGTTGTCTGTATGTTATTACTAGGCTAAGCATATGACCTTGACATTTTCATAATGCTAAAGTTCTTGAATATTTGATAAACATATTCCTACCTTTCTAATCACACTATGAAAATTGATTATATTTATTCTGTTGCTT